GCGTGTGATATTTCCAATATCCTCTCGATTCCCCCGGCGCTAGATCGAGTTCCATCTAAACGGGAGATCGTGACTGTTCTTCCACCTTTTTTACACTTGAAATATCACACAACCGATGGTGTTCCAAGTCACATGTATCAGCGGTCGGGTCGATCCGATTGTTACTACCTTAATCGATCATGCCCTGCTCCACAAATGCATATATGCATAGCCTAGAACGCTCGGCTCGTGCCAGATTCCATCCTGGCGAGCGTCCTAGTTTAACATTTCTTCTGCCTTGGTCGGTAGTAGTCCTGCGTGCTTGGTTGGACGTACTACTTGCGGATCAGGTTGTAGAACTCTTCCATAGGACATTGGCCGCTCTCGTGAACTACCCCACAAGCGGAACACACATGTGGACATTTGTCCGAGGGGTGCCCTTTTCGGCCACACTTCTGACAGGTCAATCTTTTCCAGCATCCGCGATCGTCATGTCTTTTCGAGCCGCAGTGTGTGCAGGCTTTCGCAACTCCGCACCGATCGCGATCATCATCTCGGTCTGTCTTTCGCGATCTGTCTCGTTGATCCCCTGGGTCTGCAGCCTGATCAGTGATAGTCGTCACACAAACCTTACGGCGAAAATCTTCTTCATCTGCATCGTCCGAACTTGAGCCTGAGTCGCTTTCCTCACTTACTGCACGAATGGCCTTCACCATCCGTGGTGTCTTCAAATATACTTGGGCTGGCGTCGTAGCCAATCGCAATCGGTACTTGTTCGAGTCAGTCGGATCCTTATTCTGTCGAAAACTCATACGCTGATAAGCGCGTAGAGTTTCTTCCATCGTGTTATCATCATGAACTCGCAATAGGGTCAGTTGCTTCGCCAACTCTCGATCATACAAAGTGTCAATGAAGCGTTCTACATGCTCACGTCGGCTTGCTGGCGATCCATCTCTAAACGCCACTTATGCTCGCGTTCCTGATACATTCAGCCGGTCCAAGTATTCCAACGGGGTTTCATTCGGTCTCTTCCGCGCGTGGTAGCATTCTCTTCCAGCTGACATTCCATATCCTCCATATCGGACCATGAAGCCTTCCGACAACGACTTCCAATCATCGCGGGTCGATCGGCTCAACTGGCTGAACCAATTTCGGGCAGGTCCTGTGAGCAGGTCTCCAAATACCAGACATCTCTCATCGTCTGGAGCCTGATCGCGTAGAAAGGCAGTCTTCATCTTGTTAAACCAACCTCTTGCACGTTTTCTTCGTCCTGATCACGTCCTAAAAATTCTTTCATATCGTCCATCGCCGACAATCTAATCGTCTGCGCTGAAACCTCCCGTAGGGGCGGTTCCTGCAGTTTCCACTCGTGGTCATCTTAGATCGTATAGTCCCCTTCGATCTGACTCATGTTTTCCCGGTCGATCGCGGTATGAGTACTGACTCCATTTCGACGTCTGGGACGATCGGGTAGTTAGCTCCTTGTTCTTCGCGATCGCGAATGAATTTGTCCATGGCGGCCTTGAAATATGTTTGAAACTGGCTTGGCTCCACCGTTCTTGCATTCTGTGAAGCAGGAATTTGAGTCGATTGTATTCCACTGTTAACCGGGTTGAGCCTGATTTAAGCATAGCTGCCCCTGTCGGTCCCAGCGCCATCCGCTGCGTCCCAAACGACTCGTCTAAGTCCATATCTGATTCTGCCGAGGCATAGCGTGACGCTTCGAGTATTCCTCTATCACGTTGCGGTTGGTTGACTCTCTCCATTGGCTCAGGTGTCCTTCTTCACTCTTGATTCGCTGGCTCAGATGTCCTTCTCTACTCTTGATTCGCTGGCTCATAGGGTTGTGAGACCCTGACAGTGGAGTTAGCTTTTCGAATAGTAGCAGTCCTGCTTTGCCTACCCGATCATGATCATTTTCTAATAGCGTTTGTGCGTCGAAAGCTCCATCTGCAAATCCAGCGTCTCTTAGCAGCTGAATAAGCCGATGCAATGCCTCCAACTGATTCAAGGTCACTTTCGGTGGCGATACTGGACCTTGGATCGACCCGATCAGCTTAGGTTTCAGCACCTTTAGGACTAAGTCTTCTGCAAGAAGTTTCTTCAGTTGTTGCCAATGGAATTCCCAGGTGATCCGTTCCAATTGCCAGCCTTCTGATTCTACATCCTGACCTTCTGCCTTGGTCTCTTACTTGTTTCGATGTGGCTCTGCCGTCTTCATCTTTGAACGGGCCAACTTAAGCGTGTGTTTCCTCGCCTTTGGTTGGGCGGTAGTTTTAGGTGAAGATCTTTCAGTTTTTACTGAAGGATTTCCATCTTGCAGATCGTGCTTTGCAGCATGATCCGCGGTGGTCCCCGAAGGGACCTCAGGAGGGGGTTGAGGTTTTTCTTCCAGATCAGCTTGGTGATCTTCCTCTTTGAGTTCTTGTCATCATAGCCCCTCCCAAAACTATGATGATTTTGGGATCCTTTCTCTTCGCGCATCTGTGGCGATCCAAATTCCACTGACGCTCCAATCCCAGGTTCAGTCTTGATCTTAACATCTTAATCTCGGGACTCACAGTGAAATCCCGAGTCACCAGAAGATCCAGCAACGCGCACCATTGTGGTTGAGTGGGGTTCACTAATTTTTTGAGGCGATCCCGACTCTCCACTGGCGCCCAAACGACCGACGAACGGAGGGGGTAATCCGATTCCGCTTGCACTGGTTTCCTCCTTACCTTGTATACCCGTCGTCAGGGCGGGTTGCACTCTTCTAGGTGAACTCGACGAGATGCTAAACTTGACCGTTGTAGAGATTGGTGCTGATCGGGTCGAAAATCCTCACCCGATCGCGTGTTCTGGGTTGGCGCTCTCCTAGAGTCGCCGTGATCTGCCCTGATTACCTTGTGCCAAAATGTGTACTTGAGTCGCGAGCCTTTCTGGCCACTTGAGCCGTCTCGCGATCTTGTACTTCAACCGATACGGTTGGCTGTGTCCGATAGCAGTAGGGGTGTGTTGAGAGTCCTAGCACTCCTGGCCAAATAGCTACAGGAGTGATCGTTCTATCCTTGATGTCGAGATTCTCAGACGCCGGGAGGCCAAAATATCCAACCCGGGAGAAGATCGACACGAATGTGTTTAGAAGCAAATTGAATTCTGTTTAATGTTAACCAATTAGACCCTCACATCTTACCCCTCTAACTCGGAAAATCAGATGCCACGCGTCACCTCTACAGATCGCTCCTTGTATCCATGTGGCACAGACCTGACACACTAACCGTCTGATCGCATCAGGGCATGGTCCACGCCAGATCGCGGTCCCTTGATCGCGGCCCCTGATCGCGTTCCCCTGATCGAAGTCCCCTGATCGCGGCCACTGATCGCAGCCCCTGATCGCGGCCCCTGATCGCGGTCGACTGGTTGCAGTCCCTCAATCCATAAATCGCGGTCCCCTGATTGCGGTCCCTTGATCGCGAACCCTTTCGCCTTTCTGAACCGTTCTGAACGGGTGAAATATTTCCGTGAATGATCCCAACGGTGCCATCCATGTGATTGGTCCTCGTCCCACGATCATTTCGCTGGTCCCCACTCCGTACTTAGGCATACGTTTGAGGTTTTACGAAACCGATCTTGATCGACTTTACCACATTACCATCTTTTCGTCCGTGGATTTGATGGATAAATTCCATCATATCCTCATGCTTGAACGGGACATCCCGTACACAGAAGTGAGCACCCCCAGTGGTATGCTCTGGGAGTGGCTAGTAATACCACAGGGGCTAAGTAACGCCCCTGCAACGTTCAACAGATGTGTTACAAATCTGTTGCGATCGGTGCGCGATTTCACACCGAGTTACTTTGACGATGTCTTCGTCCATAGCCGGGCTATGGATGAAAAGGCGGAAGTGGAGGTTCATAGAATCCACGTCCGGAAGGCTCTTACACTAATGAGAGAGCATAAGCTGTTCGCGAACCTCAAGAAGTGTATATTCGCAGCGAGAGAAATACCACTTCTTGGCTGCATCGTGGGTAAACACGGCGTACACCCTGATCAAGAAAAGATCAAGGTAGTTAGGGACTGGCATGTGCCATTCGACGTCATGGGAATTTGAAAGAAACTTGACTTGGCGGCGTGCTTGCACAAGTACTCGCGCAACTACGCCGAGATGACCATACATCTCTCTCGTCTGCTAAAGAAAAACGAGAGGTGGTCATGGAGTGCTGAGTGTCAGCACTCCTTTGAAGGTATCAAGAAAAGCTAAAAACAATCGCCTGTGTTGGCGATTGCAGACCAGGACAGACCATTCCATGTGGTCAGTGACGCCAGCGATTTTGCGATCGGCCGGCGTTAATGCAGTACGACTCAGACGGCGTTGGCGCTTCGTCTGTTATCAATCGCTTCAGCTGCAAGCAGCTGAGCGTAACTACCCGTTGCATGACAAGAAATTACTTTCCATGAAATTTTCACTGCATTAGTTTCGGGTACATGTCTTAGAATACAGGCCCTTCATCATATATACCGACCATGCGTGCGTCTTTACGCACGCCCGTAAACAGTCCACACCTCTCGCAACGAATGGCGAGGTGGCTGGCTTTCTTCGCGGAGTACAAATTCTCCGTCGAGTATCAACAGGACGTATTAATGTCGTCGCTGATGCTCTTTCGCGTCGGCCCGATTTTGAGCCGACTGCTCAACACAACAGTAGGGGTGATCCCACAGTCGCAGCACAATCAGTGAGTGTTCCGTCGTCGAATCTGCTCGACGACGTGCGAAAGCATACACAGAAGATGAGTCTCTTCTGCGATTGATGGATTAGGTGTCTAATCCTTGCGATCAAGCTTAAGAAAGCTTGTCGTCTCAATATTGCTCTTCAACCGAACGGTATTCTGTTCGTGATGGAATTCTGTACTATGCAGCAGTCACCGGCGACACACCTCGTGTCGTCGTTCCCGCTCATAATGATTTGCGATTGCGCATCATGTATGAGTGTCACGATGCCCCAACAAGTGGGCATCGCGGTAGGGAAAAGACTTACCTCATGGTGAGTCGTGACTTCTACTGGAACCGCCAGTATGAGTTTGTGCGCAAAAACATTCGTGCTTGCGAAGTTTGTCAGCGGTTAAAGCGTAGTCCTTCATCCCGCGCACCCTTGCAGCCTCTCCCGATTCCGGCAGAGTGTTGGCAGTCCGTATCGATGGACTTCGTCTTTGGGTTTCCCAAAGACGCTCACACGAATAATGGTATTCTTGTGTTTGTTGATCGGCTCAGCAAGTTGGTACATCGCGTTGCTGTACCGGAGTCAATCACAGCCCAGGGTTGTGCGCGTGTCTTCATCGATGCTATCTTCCGACTTCACGGGTTACCCCGTGAACTCGTGTCTGGTAGGGACCCCCGCTTTACGGCGGAGTTTTGGAAATTCGTGTTCCGTTCACTTGGAACACGTTTGAAGATGTCGACTTCTGACCATCCAGAAACAGATGGTCAGACAGAACGCTTCAACCGCGTCCTCGAAGACATGCTTCGAAGGTATGTCCACTCGTTGACGAGTTGGTGTGAGTTCTTGCCGATGGCGGAATTTGCCATCAACAACTCGGTGCATGCGTTGACAACGCATACACCGTTCTATGTGAATGGCCTACGCCATCCACGTTTACCCGCCTTCTTAGAGCGTGACTCTAGTTTAAGGGGGGGGTTGGACTCGCTCGAGCAAAAACGATCTGGTTCTTGCTTATCACCCGTTGACAATGGTTTCAACGTGATAGATGCCGATATCGATGCGATCGACATCGATGCTGCTGGTATATTCAGCATCGCCAATGACTGCCACAGTGAGGACGATGACTCCCTCACTGATGAAGAAAACGTTCTTTCAGCAGTGCACACGAAGCGCACTGCTGTTGACAAGGATGAATCAGCAGCGGAATTTCTGCTGACTCGCAAAGCAGTTGTCCGCTTCGTTCAAGATTCTATTGTAGATGCAATAGAAAGACAGAAACGAAATGCAGACAAACATGGAAGAGCAAGTGTTCTTTCGTTTGATGTAGGAGATTTAGCTTTACTGTCTACAGTAAATCTACCAAAACACGCAGTGACAAACGTGCACAGCAGCAAACTACTGCCCAAGTATATCGGTTCATTTCGTGTGTTGCGCTGAATGGGCAACGCATACACGATTGAACTGGCCGGTAGTGTGCGTCCGCATCCTACGTTTTACGTCGGTCGTCTCTGCCCGTACTATCAGTACGAGCCCGTTTTGAGAGGCGAAGAACACCTCCGCGGTCGAGAGCCGAGAACACCTTCGAGTGGTCCCGTTTCAACGAGCCAGTCTGGTCGACTAGCGAAGCGACCTGCTCACGCAGTTGGGCGATATCCTGAAGAGCTGCAATGAGCTCGTCACGAAAAGAACGAGTCGAACGTTCGTTCTCAAGTTGCGCGAACGCAAAAGCGGCACGATCGTCCGAACGATCGTGCGCTAGGGAATTGTAATTACCGCTTACAAGATCCTCAAGCCCATAACGCCGAGTCCGTTAATGAGCCAGGTCATCTTGCAACTGTTCCTTTACACGTTTCAGCTCTTGAACATCAAGCTTATCCGACCCTCGAGCCGAAATAGGGGTTCCCGCCACCACCACATCCTTTGGTGGACTCAAGCGGTGGTCAACGCTTTCTAGTGGAGCGTATCTTAAACCACCGCGACGTGAATGGCGTCCGGACGAGTTACCTCGTCCACTGGCGTGGCTATCCACCGACGTGGAACAGCTGGGAGCCTCGTGCCCAGCTGATTGCTGATATTCCGGGTCTCGTAGAGCAATATGACGAGACCCACCCGCTGCGTTCGAAAAGAACCGTCGGAAAACGACCTACCCGAACGCGAGTACAGGGATTGCAAAGTGTCAATCCCTTCGGCTATCTCAGAAGAGATGCGCGCCCTCCAGTAGGTAAAATTAGGGAGGCAGGCCTCCCTAGGGGCACGATGCGATTTGTCCAGGCAACCTGGACATAGGTCGCCCCACGAGAGACAGGGCAATCCTGCCTCTCTTGACAGTCGGTGCAACTTGTATCGTACACCGACTGGGTTGCGCTTCCTAAACCTGATGCGAGCTGCATCAAGTTTGGCGAGCCAGGCCTCACGGCCAATGCACTCGATGTTGTGGATGAGGGCGTTCCATCCTTGCACCAAGGCCTTACCGTCTCGGCCACGGTTGCCATTGTACCACCGATGCTTGAAAAACGCATCGGTGAAGAATTCTTCCTCAGCACGGATAGTTTCCGTGCTGGAATCAGGTGAGCAAATCGTTCTGCAATCGAACAACGAAATTCGATCCCGATCAGTAGTCATACCAGCCAACCGGTTTAACTCTTTGGATGATGGCATCCAAGGAGACACCACTTCAGGAGCGTGGCGCAGGACATTGCGGTCCCTGGCCTCTTGAGTGGTGTCGGCACGAGCACTGACACCAGTGGCAGATCGATCTCTCGATTTGCTTCTCTAGTGGTGATGCATAGGGGCATCACCACCATCACCACGCGTCCTATCGTCGTATGGACTTGCGTGAGGCAAGGATTCGTCAGAAGAATAGCTCGGTCCTAAGATTTCGGACATGATGCCGCCACGTTCCCCGGAGACAGTCAACCTGGCTCTTGCAGTGTCCTCCCCAGATGATCCGGAGGCGTGAGGTGTCGCCTTCGAGTCGGATACATTATCCGACTCGCCAGAATAGATGAGATCTATTTCAGGCTCATCTAAATTGCGAATCGTAACACCCGCTGCAGACGCAGCGGATGAATCTGTAGCACGTGGTGACTCACCACGTGGACTTTTCGCAGAAGGCACCGCATGTTGCTGAATCTCATTAGCAGGCGAAGCATCGACTGCTGCTATAGCAAGAGAAGAACTCTTTTTGGCTGCACGCATGCGTGCAACCACTTTTCTTGCTGCTTCGACAGCAAATCGCATGGACTTTGATACCATGCGTTGAATTGGCAAATTAATGTAATTTGACCAACAAGTGCTCCCTTTCCCAGAGTGATCTAACGGTGGTCACCCTGTTTTAATCAATTCTCATTCAATCAACGGGTGATTGATGGTTAAGGGAGGGGTGATTTAACGTGGTAGCCCGTTACATGATATTGACACCAAACGGTGTCACTCGGGAGATTGTCTAGCTTGACAAATCCCTATCAATATTATCCGAGATAGATAATATTAAAGGAATATTATCCCCTTTTAGGATAATATCCATGAGCTGTTCAAAGATCGGTTGATAAAAGACATATCAACCAAGGCTACCACCGATCGCTGCTGGACGTGCGCAATGAGTGGTGAGCAGGTTGTCGTCATACGACGACGCAGTTTAATTTAGTTAGACAAAGATAAAAGTTACATAGATAGCTTAATTGTACAATCAGATACAGTTCTCATTTTACCCTTTACTAAAAAGATCTGTTTAGGTAGATTAGCTTCCTCTGCACGTACTAGTGTACGTGAAGTTTCGTGGTACTTAAAACAAAAGGTGCCCCGTTCTAACGCGACCCCGGTAAGAAGTCCTTCTATAAAAAGGGTGACACGTACTTCTTCTTCTGGAAGAGATTCCGGCTGCATGGCAGCTATGAGAGTTCGTGACTCCTGTACAAAGTCCGATAATTCTTTCTTTCCCTGCCTATCAGCAAGACATCGTAAGTCTTAAGAGTGTGCTGGACTTGGCGGTGCAAATAACAGATACATTTCTCGTTTAAGCGAATCCTACGTAGGAATCGCAGCTTTTTCCGACGCATCACACAGTAGAGCCCATTCTCTGGCTCTATCGTCTATTTTAAAAATGATTAATTTAAAATATCTGTTGCTCAGATTAAAGCATCGCGGCATTAGTAGCCATGAAGACTTGTCGGATCTAGAGAAGGAGATATTCTCCCCCCCCTCTTTTCCGTCAAAATTCTTAACGCTGAGAGCGAGCAGACGAGCCTTTAGCTCACTGTCAAATACTGGAATGTACCGTCTAGGTATCGCTGAGAATAACGGTCATGGACCTGCCCGATCAACGTGGCCTCAGACTGCATGAAGGCATCAAGGCGTGCATTGAGCTCTTTTGGGCCTCGGGCCACAACGTGGTCGACCTGCTCGGCCCCAATCAACGCCCTAAGGTTATTGAGCACGAGACGTCGAGCCTCGAAGAGGTAGTCATGACTCTCCATCTCTTTGCAGAGGTTCAGTCGAAAATGACTCAGTTGTAGGATTGACTACAAGTGCAACCAAGTGTAGCGGAGCTACCACAGCTCTAGAGTCAGAGGAAGACTTTACGGGTGAAGACAGAATCTTACAGCCAACAGTCTATTAGTTCTAAGGAACTAATATATCAAGCTAAAGAGTCGGCTAGTTCTACGGAGCTTAGCGCGGACTCTATGAGATATTAGCTCAGGCTACTGTATTTCTAAGGGACTACACGCACAATGTGCAAAGGGGGATACTGAAGTGTAAGGACTCTCTTACCCACGACAGTTCTACAGAACTGTCAAGCGAAATTTGCGAAAGGATGAAAGTCTACGGACTTTTGCTCATTATGAGAACTGAGTTCATATAGATTTTGTATCAAGTAAAACCCTACTTCAAGTACCCTATATTCTACTAATCTAGAACTGATACAAATTCTAGAATTTGAAATAAATGCATGTGTGGCACGTCATTCAGTCATGAAATGGTGAGGGATCAAATTCCTTCGACAGCAATTACCGTGATCAAAGAATACCGACTAATCGATGTTCTCTATTGATTTAAAATCTGAGGTCATACTGTCTCCCCTGTTACATATTAGTCATCAACCAATTTAGCAATGGCTAGTGTTATCCCGTTACAAAATTACCTGTGATGAGATGATGTGCTACACTGCACTTAGTGCGAAGCATAAGATAAACCTGGTGTCATCTGCACACACTCAGGACAGACAGACAGCCGCACGTAAATAATGTTTTAAAAGGTCGGTTTTAACCTAAAGCACAGTCTTTATTAGCTTTATCCTTTGCGCTTGCAATAGTTACTTTAATAAAAATTTCTAAAAGGACGAGAATTTTCATCGACCCATACTGCAAGTTTTGCGACCCAGGTTGTGTATGCAATGTCACAGGCTTTCTTTAAGATTTTAAACTGCTACAAGAGATATCAGTTTGCGTTTCCATGGGTTATTACTTCTTTAAAGATGTACAAAACAGACGAGACAATGGAATACTTACACAGCTCGTACTAAGCTCCTGCAGGCTGTTCGACACTAAATCAGTGACTTTGCGCTATGATATAAGTAACGAGGCACCCTTTGTTTTAAGTACCACGAAACTTCACGTACACTAGTACGTGCAGAGGAAGCTAATCTACCTAAACAGATCTTTTTAGTAAAGGGTAAAATGAGAACTGTATCTGATTGTACAATTAAGCTATCTATGTAACTTTTATCTTTGTCTAACTAAATTAAACTGCGTCGTCGTATGACGACAACCTGCTCACCACTCATTGCGCACGTCCAGCAGCGATCGGTGGTAGCCTTGGTTGATATGTCTTTTATCAACCAATCTTTGAACAGCTCATGGATATTATCCTAAAAGGGGATAATATTCCTTTAATATTATCTATCTCGGATAATATTGATAGGGATTTGTCAAGCTAGACAATCTCCCGAGTGACACCGTTTGGTGTCAATATCATGTAACGGGCTACCACGTTAAATCACCCCTCCCTTAACCATCAATCACCCGTTGATTGAATGAGAATTGATTAAAACAGGGTGACCACCGTTAGATCACTCTGGGAAAGGGAGCACTTGTTGGTCAAATTACATTAATTTGCCAATTCAACGCATGGTATCAAAGTCCATGCGATTTGCTGTCGAAGCAGCAAGAAAAGTGGTTGCACGCATGCGTGCAGCCAAAAAGAGTTCTTCTCTTGCTATAGCAGCAGTCGATGCTTTGCCTGCTAATGAGATTCAGCAACATGCGGTGCCTTCTGCGAAAAGTCCACGTGGTGAGTCACCACGTGCTACAGATTCATCCGCTGCGTCTGCAGCGGGTGTTACGATTCGCAATTTAGATGAGCCTGAAATAGATCTCATCTATTCTGGCGAGTCAGATAATGTATCCGACTCGAAGGCGACACCTCACGCCTCCGGATCATCTGGGGAGGACACTGCAAGAGCCAGGTTGACTGTCTCCGGGGAACGTGGCGGCATCATGTCCGAAATCTTAGGACCGAGCTATTCTTCTGACGAATCCTTGCCTCACGCAAGTCCATACGACGATAGGACGCGTGGTGATGGTGGTGATGCCCCTATGCATCACCACTAGAGAAGCAAATCGAGAGATCGATCTGCCACTGGTGTCAGTGCTCGTGCCGACACCACTCAAGAGGCCAGGGACCGCAATGTCCTGCGCCACGCTCCTGAAGTGGTGTCTCCTTGGATGCCATCATCCAAAGAGTTAAACCGGTTGGCCGGTATGACTACTGATCGGGATCGAATTTCGTTGTTCGATTGCAGAACGATTTGCTCACCTGATTCCAGCACGGAAACTATCCGTGCTGAGGAAGAATTCTTCACCGATGCGTTTTTCAAGCATCGGTGGTACAATGGCAACCGTGGCCGAGACGGTAAGGCCTTGGTGCAAGGATGGAACGCCCTCATCCACAACATCGAGTGCATTGGCCGTGAGGCCTGGCTCGCCAAACTTGATGCAGCTCGCATCAGGTTTAGGAAGCGCAACCCAGTCGGTGTACGATACAAGTTGCACCGACTGTCAAGAGAGGCAGGATTACCCTGTCTCTCGTGGGGCGACCTATGTCCAGGTTGCCTGGACAAATCGCATCGTGCCCCTAGGGAGGCCTGCCTCCCTAATTTTACCTACTGGAGGGCGCGCATCTCTTCTGAGATAGCCGAAGGGATTGACACTTTGCAATCCCTGTACTCGCGTTCGGGTAGGTCGTTTTCCGACGGTTCTTTTCGAACGCAGCGGGTGGGTCTCGTCATATTGCTCTACGAGACCCGGAATATCAGCAATCAGCTGGGCACGAGGCTCCCAGCTGTTCCACGTCGGTGGATAGCCACGCCAGTGGACGAGGTAACTCGTCCGGACGCCATTCACGTCGCGGTGGTTTAAGATACGCTCCACTAGAAAGCGTTGACCACCGCTTGAGTCCACCAAAGGATGTGGTGGTGGCGGGAACCCCTATTTCGGCTCGAGGGTCGGATAAGCTTGATGTTCAAGAGCTGAAACGTGTAACGGAACAGTTGCAAGATGACCTGGCTCATTAACGGACTCGGCGTTATGGGCTTGAGGATCTTGTAAGCGGTAATTACAATTCCCTAGTGCACGATCGTTCGGACGATCGTGCCGCTTTTGCGTTCACGCAACTTGAGAACGAACGTTCGACTCGTTCTTTTCGTGACGAGCTCATTGCAGCTCTTCAGGATATCGCCCAACTGCGTGAGCAGGTCGCTTCGCTAGTCGACCAGACTGGCTCGTTGAAACGGGACCACTCGAAGGTGTTCTCGGCTCTCGACCGCGGAGGTGTTCTTCGCCTCTCAAAACGGGCTTGTACTGATAGTACGGGCAGAGACGACCGACGTAAAACGTAGGATGCGGACGCACACTACCGGCCAGTTCAATCGTGTATGCGTTGCCCATTCAGCGCAACACACGAAATGAACCGATATACTTGGGCAGTAGTTTGCTGCTGTGCACGTTTGTCACTGCGTGTTTTGGTAGATTTACTGTAGACAGTAAAGCTAAATCTCCTACATCAAACGAAAGAACACTTGCTCTTCCATGTTTGTCTGCATTTCGTTTCTGTCTTTCTATTGCATCTACAATAGAATCTTGAACGAAGCGGACAACTGCTTTGCGAGTCAGCAGAAATTCCGCTGCTGATTCATCCTTGTCAACAGCAGTGCGCTTCGTGTGCACTGCTGAAAGAACGTTTTCTTCACCAGTGAGGGAGTCATCGTCCTCACTGTGGCATTCATTGGCGATGCTGAATATACCAGCAGCATCGATGTCGATCGCATCGATATCGGCATCTATCACGTTGAAACCATTGTCAACGGGTGATAAGCAAGAACCAGATCGTTTTTGCTCGAGCGAGTCCAACCCCCCCCCTTAAACTAGAGTCACGCTCTAAGAAGGCGGGTAAACGTGGATGGCGTAGGCCATTCACATAGAACGGTGTATGCGTTGTCAACGCATGCACCGAGTTGTTGATGGCAAATTCCGCCATCGGCAAGAACTCACACCAACTCGTCAACGAGTGGACATACCTTCGAAGCATGTCTTCGAGGACGCGGTTGAAGCGTTCTGTCTGACCATCTGTTTCTGGATGGTCAGAAGTCGACATCTTCAAACGTGTTCCAAGTGAACGGAACACGAATTTCCAAAACTCCGCCGTAAAGCGGGGGTCCCTACCAGACACGAGTTCACGGGGTAACCCGTGAAGTCGGAAGATAGCATCGATGAAGACACGCGCACAACCCTGGGCTGTGATTGACTCCGGTACAGCAACGCGATGTACCAACTTGCTGAGCCGATCAACAAACACAAGAATACCATTATTCGTGTGAGCGTCTTTGGGAAACCCAAAGACGAAGTCCATCGATACGGACTGCCAACACTCTGCCGGAATCGGGAGAGGCTGCAAGGGTGCGCGGGATGAAGGACTACGCTTTACCCGCTGACAAACTTCGCAAGCACGAATGTTTTTGCGCACAAACTCATACTGGCGGTTCCAGTAGAAGTCACGACTCACCATGAGGTAAGTCTTTTCCCTACCGCGATGCCCACTTGTTGGGGCATCGTGACACTCATACATGATGCGCAATCGCAAATCATTATGAGCGGGAACGACGACACGAGGTGTGTCGCCGGTGACTGCTGCATAGTACAGAATTCCATCACGAACAGAATACCGTTCGGTTGAAGAGCAATATTGAGACGACAAGCTTTCTTAAGCTTGATCGCAAGGATTAGACACCTAATCCATCAATCGCAGAAGAGATTCATCTTCTGTGTATGCTTTTCGCACGTCGTCGAGCAGATTCGACGACGGAACACTCACTGATTGTGCTGCGACTGTGGGATCACCCCTACTGTTGTGTTGAGCAGTCGGCTCAAAATCGGGCCGACGCGAAAGAGCATCAGCGACGACATTAATACGTCCTGTTGATACTCGACGGAGAATTTGTACTCCGCGAAGAAAGCCAGCC